CCTATAATGAGCGTAGCTCATACACTTGTGTATGCGAAAAGTGCAAAGGGTGGAATGATTTATTTGTTTGGTGGTTATAGAAAAGAACCTATTGGAGATCCTATATACGGATATTCCCCAGAGAAACAAGCATGGAGCTCCGTAACACCAAAAGTTAATGGTGGCATTATGATGCCAATTGAATCTAGTACCAAAATTGTCGGTATTTCAGATGGAAACTTAGGAACCATCTACATATTTGACAATGGAACCATGTATATTTATGATGTATTGAATAATTTTTGGAATCCTGGTAAAATCGCGCCTCACAAGCTTAATTATTATGCCGCCGTTATGTTAAATACAAGTGAAATTGCATACATTGGTGGTTCTGATGGTACAATAAACCTTCCTATGGATCAGATCCTTTTATATAACACAAAAGTATCATTATGGTATACAAAGGTAAATAGATCGATTCATTGTAGGACTTTATATTTCGTTATTAAGATAGACATCTTCCATTTTAGAATGCAAAAGCAAATGGTATAATTCCATCACCACGGCAAGGCCATACAGCATCTATAGGTAAGCTGTAATCTATCGCTTGTTTGTTGGATACTGAACTGAATATAGTTATTCATTATAATAATAGCACCTGATGGTCGGATCTTTGTATATGGTGGTTTTGACGGTGATGATGATGCGCTCACTTCTTCAGGAAGTACTCCCACGTTCGCGGTCCTTGAGTACGATGGTGATGAGTTCGTATGGTTCTCTCCTCAACTATTTAATCCGTCATCTGTTATGAGGATCTACCATACCTCACACGTAGTCGGAAATTATTTGATCGTTGCTTTCGGTATGTATCGCTTTTTGTATATAATAAATTATTTGAAATATCATTATTAATTATTATTTTATAACAGGGCGGAATTTAACACATGTTAGATTGAATACAATTGATCTGATTAATATAAAGAATAAAGATATGTACGAAATTGTCACAGATTTTATACCTTATAAAGCACCATCAATAATATCATCACCATCACCATCACCATCACCATCACCATCTACATCACCTATCACATCATTATCACCCACCACATCATCATCTTTATCACAGAATATCTTAATTATCTTATCAGTATTTGCTGCTTTTGGGTTTTTTGTTATTATGTCTAGTGCTTTTTTCTTGGCAAGATATTATCGACGTAGAAATGTTATTCCTACCGCTGGTCAAAATTATTAATCACTTTTATGATACTTGGAGTAAACAACATGCGAACTACTTATGTTAAACGCAGGATTATTATGTATTTTCGCATTGTAAATCGTACTGTAATAAGTAATCTATGATTATATTTAATAAATGCTTTTGTAAGAAAAATATTTAGTCTTTTATGTGTATGATTAGGAAATTTTGAACGTTGATAATTACTTTAAAAAGGAATTAAAATTGTTTCACTTCTTTTGATATATTAATAGAAGTACTGTACAATATGAACAGTATATGTATGTAGGAAGAAATTTTAGTTAACGGATAACGTATTTATCCTCAAATTTTTTCTTATTCATTTATTGTTATTATGGGTGATACTTTTAAGATTTTATGATCAAAAGAAACAAAAGCTGCCGGCAGAGTTTTGGAGAGAAGTGGGATGCATTCATATAGAAATTTCTTTCCCTACAATTATTGTAAACTCGATCAACGGGTTAATACCTGTTTAATGGTTCTTATTGCTGCAAAGGTGACACCAAAATTTAAAACTAACAACTAAATTGTCTCGTTTAGTGATTCGATGCAAAGAGATACACATAAATGTCTACCGCGTTAAAAAAAAAAAAAAAGTAATAGAATCTCTGCTAGCTTTAACACTTAGGAACAGCCTTAAGTTGTCGAACATAAAAATAAAAAAGTTTAATTCCAAGTCCTGGATGTGAAATATTTTGACGTCTTGAATCTTAACGTTTGATTTATGTTTGTCTAATCAAATTGACATGCCTCACAAATATTATTTAACGCACAAAATAATGAAGGGTGTATTAATTTTAGTTTTGCAATTTAATTTTAATTAAAGCAGGACTCGTATAATAAACTTTCTGTTTATAAACATTATGAGCTCAAATTATTATTTTTAAAAATTTAAAAGTTTTCATGGAACGGAACTTTGAAGCTGCGATGTAAAGGAGTATTACACAACTTGTATATTTTGGTTTCGAATGTATGTGTAGTATGGTTCTATTTTTTAATGTATGTATATATACTTTAAAAATTGACATGTATGATTTTTAAATAACAAATAGTTCGTACCTGTATGGTTTCTAACATTATACATGTGTGAAAAAAAAATCCATATTATACACACATTCTAAACCATAAATGATTGTCAAATACCCGATACAAATTCAATTGCTAATTTGAGCTTAAGATATATGATTTTATCGATAAAGTAAGTTTTTGGTCACGAATTAGAGAAACCGTGTGAACGCTAAATCAGTTTGTATGTATATGTATATAAAGTAATTCATGTCCAGCTAGACGTTTTAGACAGATTAAACCATTGTGTCTCTTATATCATATACGTATCCATCGTCATAGAAATATTATTACTGCTGCTCATGATCGCAAAAATTGATCGGCTGCGGAAAACACAATGGACAAATATTATTTTTAATTACTATCAATAAGTATGAATGAAGAAGGTTCATAAAGCTACTGTTACAAGAATATCAAGACAATAATTTTGTTTAAGAAGTTTGTTTGTGTCAAAATTAGTTAGACCTTCTGGAATTATTTTTGGAAATTTGCCCTCCGGTCAAATAGTCCTTATAAATAATGAGCTTTTTGGAGGGAATCAGATAGGTCGTTCTTTAATTTTTTTATTCAAAACATGTTCCTTTCCTTTCCTTCTTACGATTATACATTTCGATAAATTTTATATTGTAGTTTTAATAATTAAAATTTATTTATAAACCGAATTGCACAAGATCGCTGACGTTGAGGCACACTTGATAAATTGATTAAATAATTTTTACATCATAATTCCTAATATTAAAACCTTTCGGCTTACATATCCTTTGCATATAATATATACGTAAAGGGTGCAGCACATTATAAAAACATCATTCTTTGTTTGAAACTTGATCAATCTTATCTAAGGTATCTATTAGCTTATTTTTCTTGATGAATTTATTTTTTCTAAGATTATCAAAAACTTGGAATAGTTAATAAATAAATAAATATATATCTTTGGTCGTATATGAGGCGTCTTCCTGTTCAAAAGTCCTGTGATTAACCTTATAATTTATACAAGATCAATATGGGTGAAAATACATTTTTAGCAATGTCCCCAGATGGTCTCTTACAGGGCCAAATCTAGGGATTAATTCTTTATATTTTACCAGTTATCGAGATTAAACAAATAACCGTTCGAAAAATTTTATAAATAGGGTTGCGTCCAGTTTTTTTACGTTTACATTTATAAACAAAGGAAGAAGGTTTTTATATTAGGTAAATATTATGTAAATTTTATTTAATAAAATCAAGTGTTGCTTTAACGCCAGTGATCTAACTATCCTAAAACTATTTCCCTATTGGAAAGAATAAATGAAATATTTATCTACTTCCTCAAGAAAAACCCATCGTTTCTATCTTTAAATTTTGGTAAAGACAAAATACCTAGAGGACGATTTGGCAAGTGGACAATTTAGCTGGACAGTTTCTAAAATCTCAATGTCGATCTTATAAAGTTCGTAGCAGGAATAAACAAGTTTAAAATTTTCTCATAACAACATGACGAAATGAAGTTGCTTATAGGTAATTGCTATCTTTTTTATTTATTTATTTTTTCTTTACCAATGTTACCAAATTTTTTGGTCCCTATAGGCGTCGTCAAATCAAAAAAGAACTTTGCTGAATGCCATGGCTTCTAGATGTTTAGGTGAAATCAAATTTGGTTTTTTGCAACCGGACGGAAAATAGCGAAAGTATTATTTACAGCTTATTTCATAAGTCACGGGACAGCCGATAATAACCGAGGCTTTTCCGAGAAAATTTATAAGGATTTGAAAAAGCAAACCTCATTATATATGGGTAAAAAAAATTATGTCACTATTTTCGGAACACTGATCTGAAAGTAGCGATAATGTTTTTTCTTCAAAAAATTCTATACCGAGTTTTTTTATCGACTTTTGAAATTAGCTGTAACCTTAAATTATTTTTGGTAAATCGAAAACCGGGTTTTCCAACTGGTTGCATGCAACCGGATTTATTCAAAATTGGTTAGACTCGAATTTAAAACCGAATTGTTATAATCGGTGTTAAACCTGGAATTGTACTGAAACCAAGCTAACAAACTAAATAGCTTAAAAACTAAGGCAACTTTACAGGTCTATTTAAATAAATTTTCTAACTATTACTATACTACGCTTTTTGATAATAATAAATAATACATGTAATGAAAACTAAATAATATAATATAAGTAATGAAAAGTAGACTACAGAATACATATAATAAAAAGCAAATTGTTCGATACATATATCACAAGTTTTACAAATGTTACATGATATTCGCCGCAACGCAATGTGAGGTTATCTGAGGCGCAGTACAATTTAAGCATTTGATAGTTTCAGATCACATTTTGTTCATGTGATATTTTTTTTTTTAAAAGAAATACTACGATTTTTTTTTAATGTAATTGCTGATCACTGTTGATCATACTAATTTGGAGGAATTGCAAAGAAATGAATTATCATCCAGGATATAAAATATAGGGTTAATCCCAGACTTTTGAACAGGACAACGCTTCGTTGAGGTGGTAGTTGGACCAATTAAATATATATACGAATTTTTTATTATTGAAGTTTATTAAAATATTCATTTTAAAAAAGTCTCTTACGGTCTTAACATTCATTTTCAAACCTCCATAACTCTGAATTCTTATCATTTCCTTCGAAATGTTACCTCTTTATGTAACAGCTCACTTTTTTCTAAAAAAAAAATTACTATTACAAAATGATTTCTTCGGGTAACAACTCTCTAACAAAATATTTTCTTTGGGATTTATCAAAAAGTGAGATGTCACATTATTCTTATATCATTTTAACTTTTACTTGTTTGAATCCTAATTTATAAGTATATATTATCGAATTTGTAATTTTTTGTCGGAATTATAAGTTAGTCCATCCGTCTCATAGTCGTACAAATAGTTGATACAAATATTTTTTGAACAAATTCATGTTACACGATATTTGTCGTGCATTTATCATCAAAATGTAAGGTAGGCGTGAATCACAAAAATGCAGTGTAATGTTAAAATTTAATAAATAAAGGATTATAATAAAATTTAAATTCTATCAGAAAAAATTTTATTTGAAATAAATTATTCCATTATTAATTGAATTATGTCTTGCAAAAAATATAATAAATTACTTAAATTATGCTTCATATTCATAATTTATTTGTTTCCCAGTGTTGAATCATTTATTCCTGTAGGACGTTCCGGGCATTCATCCGTTCTTATTGGAGATAAAATATATTTTTTTGGTGGATATAATGGAAGTACTTATTCAAATGAAGTTTTTTATCTTGATACGTCTCAACGATTTGATTCTGGACTTCCGCCATGGACAGACCTTACATTAAATTCAGGAATAAATTTTAGAAGCGGTTGGGCGACTACTGTTACATTGAATGATAATAATAACAACCCGACCATATACCTTATTGGTGGACATTTTCTTGAAGCAGATAATGTTACCTCACTAGTACATACATTTAATCCAAAATCAGGGCAATGGAGTGCACCCTTAATTTCAGGAACAGAACCATTTAGACGAGCATTTATTCAAGCTGTCGCTGATGTTACTGGAAAAATTTATGTTTTTGGTGGAACTTTTATGGAAAACCTCCAACGTTTAAATGATATGATAATATTAAGTACTAATGATTTAACGTGGTCATATGGTTCAATTGCTAATGTTCCTTTAAAGCGAAGTACATATACTGCAACATTATTATCAAATGGTATGATTGCATATATTGGAGGCCGAGAAATAAGAAATGATAATACAATTCATGAAGTAGATTTTGACAAAATTGACCTTTATGATACTAAACTTGACAATTGGTCAGTAATGGTAAGTTTTAATTATAATTTTCACTTAATATATTTGATAATTAATAAAATTTTGTTTTAGCGAGCAAGGAATATTGGACAAATTGAATCCCGTTACGGTCATTCAGCTTTATTAGGTATAGCTTGTTATTATTTATTATTATACTCTAATACATAATTAACATATTATTAATTTTATGTAGTTCAAGATGGAAAAATAATTATAAGTGGTGGGTCAAAAGGCGATGATGATCTTAAGTCTATTAAAGCCACACCAGATCTGGCTGTTTTGAATACTCTAACGAGTCCGTTTGAATGGTCCGTACCGCAACTATCATCAAATATTGATGAATTTCCATCACTAAGTTATCATACAGCAAATTTAGTTGGAGATTATGTGATTATAGCTTTTGGTAAATATTCCTCATACATAATATTTATCATTTCTATTTTGGCTTATCTAATAAGTAAAATGATTATTTAATTATTAGGTCGTCTTGTTCATCAAAATGGGTTAGTAGAACTTTCTCAGTCAAACAAAATTTACTTGTTAGATCCTAGAAACTATACTTGGGTTGATAAATTTGAACCTAAAAGTATATCTGAGCATACATCTTCAAATACGAATACCCCTTCAACTACAAGTGCTCCGGATTCTTCAAAAACTACTAACGTTATAATTGGTACAATAAGCGGAATTGTGGGTGCCGCAGCTTTAATAATAATTGGAATCGTTGGTTATAAATGGTATCAAAAGAGAAAACAAAATGAAATTATGAGGATTGCCGGTGATAATGATAAAACTATTTTATAATTATTTATATTACAAT